AAATAACTCAAGAATTTTTGACACAGAGATGCATTTGCCCCTAAGATGCATAAAAATGTAAGCCATGTGAAAAAGAGAGCAAATACTCGTGAAGAGTTTCGTGAATTCACTTCAAAACAAATTTTATAGTAACTTGAAATTTAAAAAAAAATTATCACACAAGTTACATTTTTATTCCTTCACTGTTCCACATAGAATCTGTTCCAACAGAAGCATCTGTTGTCCTTTTGTCCTTCATCTGCCCCTCTTTCATCTCAATACATCAAAAAGAAGTTTTGTAATAGTGGATGTAGTGTGTCAAATTAGTGTGTGGTATATTAATTAGTGTGTATATAATGTGTCATATAGAAAGGACTATCTTTCTATATGAATAATATTTTTACTAGTTTCCTAAAAAAATAAAAAACAATCAAGTTCTTGAACTTGATTCTTGGTGCAAGAACTGAGATAAGCTTTCCACTTCTTAACAAGCACCTAAAATCAGGAGATGAAGTTTACAGTTCCAAGTGGCATCTGTGCCCTGAAGAGATTTTCCAAGACATTGGGCAGACCGTGTCTTTTCCAGGTTTTGAAGGACATGACTTACAGACCGTAGCCTTCTTTCAGTTAAGCTAACCATGTAACAACATAGCCCTTGTAACCCGCAAGTAGTTTTATAACAGAGCATGAAGACCTGCTGCAGAAGATTATGTTATGATTAACTGCCCAATGTAAATAATGGGTGATTACAATTAATGAAAAGAATTATTCAGTATTTCTTGTAAATAGAACATTTGATATACGCTGATGACACAGTTGCTGTAGTTGTAATCAAGTTTTTGAAAACTTCAAAACTTAAGTATACCCAGATCTAACAATCCAGTTAATAAGACAACTCACAAGTTCGAGAAGTATTGGACGAAAAGTGACAATAAACAAGAGACAATATTTTTCTCACTCTACTGAAATAAATCAAATACCATGTAGAAAATTGGTCTTTACCATATGGTTTCCATGTGTGTCACTCCAAGTTCCTTTCTCCCACACATTTTATTTCACCGTGTACATTTTCAAAATCACCACAAAGCTTGAACTCCCATATTGGATATAAGAGAGCCAACAATTCTAAATGCTGGATAGTTCTACTTTGTCTTAGGTTTCTTATGCATTGCCAGGTTTAGTGACAACATCCTTTTTGAATAATGTGTGATCACAAGGGGCACCCTTGATGACTTTGGGTAAAATTAATTGCATTACTCTGTCTAAATCCACTTGGATAATTATATCATTGCATTCAAAGTTATCATACTAGCTTTTGTTAGAAGAGTTCTTTTTCAGTTCATTCTGCAAGGCTTTCCTCTTTTTTTCCTTTCAGCGATGACTGAATTTCAATGTAGTTGAAGTACATCTCTATGAGAGCTCAAACATGCAAGAGAATTGCAACAAAGCACTCTATTACATTGAAGTTGTTGTCATGTCTCTGTTTCTTTAAAATGTGCACCAAAAAAAACACTGTTCTCATGATCTCAAGCACATTATGTTTTTCAGTTTACTATAAATCTCAATCAGGATTTCTGCTTTCTCCATTTTCCATCAGTGCAACAGCAATCAAATATTTATTCCCCCCCTTCAAATTTCCAGTAAACAAACTTACATTAGCTTGTAAAGACCCTGTTGTAATTTTAAATCTTGTGGGCTTCCTTTTTTGTTTTGCCTTCTCATGCCAGTATTTCAGACTGGTCTTTTATTTGAGCAGCTGTTTTCCTGTTTCACCACAAGATGTCGGTGTGACACACTTACAACTAACGCTATTTTTCTCATACATAGCTGTTGCAAATTGCCAACGGATGTAATATTTTTCTTCTCTAAAAGCCCGAAAAAAAATATATATATACTGAAGCTATAAACATGTGCTATCAGAAAGCAAGCATGACAAGTGCAAGGTATCTGTAACAACTTGCCTCACTTCAAACCAGTTTTGCACAGAGCAGTTTTGCAGTACTTTCCAAATCATTCTGTGGTTTCCTGCGTCATGTAAATCAGGCATGATGTGCTCAGTGTGGTGAGTGACACTGGGCAAGTTGTTCAGATTCACCTCTGTGCTTTCTGACACACCTAGGAAAGAAAACCAGAGAGGTGTGAGTTACTGAGCTGGCAATGAAGAACATCCATCCTCTCCTTTTTGCAATTGCTCACTCCCTGCAATATCCTGCTGATTTCTGTTTTTCCACTCACTTCTGTGCACTTGCTGTTTCCAGGAGAAGTGTGCCGTGTCCTCTCTGCAGCCCCATTTAACGTCTTTGGCCCCTGTTCCAGTGGCACCTCTAGGCCCCCATAGGCATTGGCACTGCTTGTGGGCCCACATCATGACTTGTCCCTGTCCCTTCCTGTCACTGCCCCACAGTTTCCTGACACCTGGGACTGCCTTGGATGTCCACTCAGTCTGTCCTAGCTCCTTTCTGGTCCTGCTTGGCCACTTCCATCCCTGTCAGGGAGGTGAGTAAGATGGGATTCTGCCATGGGGTGGCTAACTTACGGAGCATGCAGTACCAGCCTCGCACACAAGAGAGCAGGGATGTACTCTTCAGGATGAGGATTTAAAATCGAAGGATCACAGAAGCACAGAACAACAGAATGGTTCGGGTATGAAGTTTGAACTCTCACCACTGTGGGAAGGTTGCTCCCCACCAGCTCAGGATGCCCATGGCCCACCCAGCCTGGCCTTGAGTGCCTCCAGGGAAGGGCACCCACAGCTTCTCTGGGCAGCTGTGCCAGTGCCTCACCGCCCTCTGAACAACTGCCTAAGGTAATCTACCCTCTTTCAGTTTAGAACCATTACCATGGTGTCCGATCACCACTTGCCCTTGTTAAAAATCCCTCCCCAAAATCACCTCAGGAGTCAACTGATATGGATATAAATTGCAGGACTGGTGTGTACAGTGCACATTATACATATTTGGCCTATACATCAGAAGTCCTTCAGTGCTGCGTTGTCAAAACTGAAAGCCTGGAAATTCCAAGTTAATGGGATGTTTGTATTTTAGGGGAGAATGTTCTGGTTGATGCACTCTCCTCATTACCAGTGAAGACGTGAGAAAGATGGAGTTAATTCCTGAGGCCCTCAGTGGGAAGCAGAAATAGAGATTGGAACATAGAAGAAACAAGGATGAGAGAGCACAAAGAAGTGAGGCTACATTACCAAAACCTTTCTCTGCCCCTTAGAGTAGAAAAGAGTCGTATAAAAATTTGCACAGCTTTGCATAAGACATCGATTTTGTGGGGTATTCAAAGCATCTTTCATGCTAATTAGACCAGAAAGACAGTTCCAAATATGCTTAACATAGACATCTGAAGGGCTAACACAACTGTTTCTGGAAACAGATGTAGCTGTCCCACATTAGTTGTTAGCTGTGCTGGAGTTGTTTCTCTTTGCAGCTGAAGCATGAGTAAAGCTTAACTTTTCTCTGGAGAAAATGGGAAAAATAAAAGTAATAATAAAAAAATTAAACAGAGAATGCAGTACTCCTGCATAGTGCATTTATTAATGAAAAGTAAAGCCTAAGTAAAGTAAGTCTATCATCAGAGAATTCAGAAGGGACAGCATAACTTTCAGCAGTTTCTAAAAGTATTATATCCTAACCAACCAGGCACACCACTGCACGTGAGGGTTAAATTTTCCTCATCAAGTGAATCACCAGCTTACAAAACAGAAAACAGCTGCTGAACAGATAATGGGCAACATCCCAGGTTATTTTTATCCCTGCATAGGAAACCATATATTCAGAATTGCATTTTTAAATGATTTCTAGAAGACAGTTTGACAAGACAAAAGCCAGTAGTTGCATAAAGCAGCATGTCTCACTTCCTTCTCACAGTACTCAAATCAATGAGTGAACATTAAGAAAAGTTATCTTGAATGCTTGACCTACCTCTGAAAATTTCCTTACACTGCAATGCAGCCTTCATGAGTCAAAAATACAACTGCAATCTCAGAACCTTAATTACTGATACATCCAGTATTCCTGCTCTGTTATCTACTCAATACAGAAGCTCATTTGTGATTACTATTGAAATTCAGCTGCCTAATTCTGCATAAACGAATCCATTAGCAAACAAATATGGCATATAAATTGGCTTACCACTTTCATGATAATCAAAGAGGTAAGATTAAGAGAGAGAGCTCTGAAGAACAAAGCCAAACGAGAAGGACTGAAAGTATTCGAGCATCAGTGCAATTTAGGAAAGTAGTGAAGTTTCTAGCAAACAGTAAATTTGAAGGTTCAAGCCAGTAAACCTCAGAAAATTAAAGCTACTGAAACAACATGATAGTATTAAGGATTTGAAGTTTTCTTTATATTCTACCAAAGAAAAGTACCTGCCTTCTGGAAGCTCCGAAACATAAGCCTTCAAGCTCCTGGCACTCTAGAGTCTGATTCCATGGCATGCTGTGGAAGACTGCTGTGTTTTTAGGCTACTACAACTGCGACTGTCCTTTGGCTCCCTAGGCAGGGATGGTTATGTTTCCCTCCTTCCTCCAATGAAGTTGTGCACAAAGCATGTATTTTACCTACGTACAACCTCTGCAATAACATCTAATGCACTTTAATTTATAGCTTGCCTAACCAAAAATTTACACTAACAGCATAAATGCTGCTGTGAAGCTAATTAAACTTCCTCCCTTACTATAATGCAATAACTATGTATTTTCATTAGAAGAAATGTATAGTTAATCTGTATTGCAACATATGCTTTAGAAAAACTGAATAATTAAATGCCCATTTAAATGCCATTTACATTACTTCTCTACTCATTGTTTACAACAACAAAGAGCACTATTGCATTCACCAGAAGAGCACTGCTTTTCTGCTTTTACTACTTACACATGGAAGCACATATGAAAACTGTTGATGCCACTCAAGACCGAAGCACTATAAATAGCTCTCTGTTGTTAGAGGATAGGAGATGAAACAGGTCTCATGGCACTGGAGCACAGCATGTCCTATCAAGTGCCTGTGCTCTGCCTGTGCTAAAAGCGAGAGGTGACATCAAGTGATCAGTTAGCCTGCGAGCAAGGCACACGCCTGGGGAGAGTTTGGTCTAACTGTAGGTTCCCTTAGGCAACAGGAACACAGCAACTTGCCTTTTTGCCTCAGCAATGGCAGAAGCTGTTATAAGACACTGGGTGGAAACTCCTGTACGCTATCAAGAGCAGTTTGCTGCCGAGGAGCTGGAAGAACACAAACTGAATCACTCTCTTTATGCTTTGCCGGGACCTTTCACAGCTACACTGAGCAGAAGAGGGCAAATTACAGAAAGTACAGATGGGGCTGAGGCAAGTGGCCAAGAAGAAAAAAAGACGGGCTTTCAGGTCTTGCTGGATGTTGTGCAGTTTCGCCCAGAAGATATCATTATTCAGACTTTTGAAGGCTGGCTCCTGATCAAAGCTCAGCATGGACCCAGGATGGATGAGCACGGCTTCATATCCAGAAGCTTTACCAGACAGTACAAACTGCCCGATGGAGTGGAGAACAAAGATTTGTCTGCGCTATTCTGCCATGATGGCATTTTGGTTGTTGAAATGAAGAACTCGATGGGAATTAATTAGTCTTGACAATTGGTGAGATAAATTTATTCTTAATATCACAAATGGTATTATTCAAGCAATGCTGTGGAGTGTAGAAAGCATGTGGCTGCATTAATATTACAGAAAAGGAGAATAATCGTATATATTTTTCAGTATGCTGAATTTGTTGTTTGATGTGAAATGTTAGACTACTTGTCCCCAGCTAAGTATATGCTGAATAGCCAGATTTTTTGAGCTGTAGAAAAGTTAGGCTAATCACAGTATGAGAAAAAAAAAAAAAGATATATTTGATAATACTGAAAATAAAGCATACTTAAGGGTTCATTTAAGGATTTGTATTTCTAAGCAGTAACTGTAATATGCAATCATAATCATTAAAGAAGCAATGAACAGGTTGTGAGTTTTATACCAAAAATGTGTTTTATAGTTTTTTTAGATTAGTTTTCTCCTGCAAAAGCACATAAAATAAACTATTAAAAAAAAAAAAATCACTGTTCAAATTTATAAACAAATTATCTATGAGAGAGTACGTTTTACATGTGTTACATATTTGAAAGTATACAAAAACAAAATAAACACTGACTACCTTTGTTTGAAAATGCAGTAAGTAGAAGCAATATTTTCTGTCAAAGACGAAGGAAATACTGTAAAAGATTTGGGAAACTGTTTTTGTTTAACACATTGAGATATCTGTTAGCAACTAAAGAAAAAAATATACTGCTTATATAAATCAAAAGGACCAAGCCATTATTTGTGAATCCCTGCTAATAAAAACACACAACTGGAGTATGGATGCCTTGATTACTATTCACTGTCCATCAATCAGTTGGATATTCTTTGTGTTGCTTGGCAATGTAGGCTGACACACCTTGACTATATATTAAAAACTTTTCTGCTAACCTTTTCTCTCACACTCTCTATGGGCTCTAAATGGATCCAATTTTAAGGGATTTATTACAGACACATGTCTAATTTCTCTCCTTGTTTCTCTCATCTAAAAAGAGTGGTAGAAATTAAAAAACATCTGTCCACTATTCCTAGTATCTAGACTGCTCAACCTTTATAAAAATGCTCCATGTGAATTTGCAAGTGCTCAAATATTTGAGAATATCTGCAGTTGCAAATTGAACTGTCCCACATATTCAGGAGATAAGTCTGACTGCTGTGCTATGAATAGTAGAGGAATGTGGAAAGGAAAGTGCCAAGTTAAATACAGACTCTTTATGATAGCCATCTGCTTTATGGCCAAATGAAAAACATACTCTAATGAAATTGAATATCAATACAATTTGAAGACTATGAAAAAAAATTTCATGAACAAAACTCTGGCTCTCACCAGCTGAGAGTTCTTTGAGTTTTAAACAAAAGCCTGAAGTGTGTACTTCTGCACACATCCATTCACTGGAAAGATTTATGTCGTGACTGCTTAGACTTCAAGGCATTTGAAAACAGTTCACTTAGAAAAGTGAGGAGTCCAATTTCTTGTATTTTATTTCATATTTGTACTAACACGAAATTCATACAAAAAAAAAAAAAAGAGAGCAATTATTTTATTGTTGTTGTTGTTGTTGTTTTAGTAGAAGTCAGAAACAGTTGTTTTCTACAAAACTAGGCTAAATAAAATCATATGTCCGTATATTTTCATTCAATCCACACTTCTAATTTATATTGCCTGTGTTTAATTTAAGGCAACAAAAGGACAATCATATTAGAAAATTAGGTCTATATTTAAATGCTTCAGAGTCAGGAAGCTTCCCCAGCCAGGGATCCCATGGAACACATAGCATGGATTAAATGAATTCTAAATGCAGGTCTAGATTTAAATTTTGCACAACTTTATAAAAGCTCATATGTTCAGAGCCATGGTTTCCATATAACCTTATGGTACAACTGTTGGGCTGCAGCTCAAAGCAACTAGTTAGTAAACTGCTTTGGTGGCTTTTGTTTACAGAGAATATTTGATCATTTAAAATCACAGACATATATAAAAATGACTCAGCTTGTGGTGCTGGTATTTATTGCCCTAGAGATTTTTTAAAAAGTATTTTTAAAAGAAACAAAAAACACATAAGTGACTTAATTATTTTAAATTAGATCATGATTAAATTACTGGAAACTCGGCAAGGAGTTTGATGAGAGACAGCCAAAATCGCACCGTTTGCTCTCTGTGTGTAAATGCCACGGTTACACACACGGTTACACAGCTCTGCTCACAAAACAAGAGAACATTTGACATTTGCCTGCCTCTGTTGTCTCTTCACATCACTCTGTGTCCAGTTCCGTACTTGCTGATGACACTGTCCATCCAAACCCAGAGGAAAGTGCTGACCCAAATGCACGAAGGTTTGTACACAGCTATGTTTCATCTTCTTCATGAATGTCCTTCCTCACGTGTGGGAATAGCAGCAGCATGATGGCAAACTGCAACTATGCTGTAATACAGACCTGACCCTAACTCCCATAACACAAAGCAGAGGGAAGTGTTTCTGTCATTTGTTTAGCTTATTGAAAGCTTTGGGACGAATGATTTCTATACATTTGCCAGAACAGCCTCTAAATACCTGGCAGAGCTCTTTCTTCTGAATTGTCTGTGAGGAACTGTTTCCATTCATCAAATGTGATGTTTGACTTTAATAACTTGATTACAACTGAATGCAAACATCAAGAAGAGAGCTGTAAATACTGTTCATGCACAGTGAACAGTGAAATTTGTACACAGCAAAAAGATTGCAGAACACTTACAGCTTACGGCAGGTTTAAGCCACACTGATTTGATTAAATTAAGGATCCTGATATTGGCTATCTGCAAAAAACTGGCCCAGAATAACCAACATAGGCTGTTGCAAGCAGTGCAGAGCAAGTTACTGAGCATTCTCTGCTCCCATCAGTGAAGGATTACCTTTGTAATTGATTGGGCTATTCTTCCAAATTGAGTCAAGATGATTTCATGCATGAATCTAATCACTGTGATAAATGCTCTCATAGAAGAAAATGTCTCAGTATCAGCACAAGTTGCCAAAATCAAGGTCACAAACACATTTCTGGGTGACCCCTATGAGCAAAAAGGCAAAATGTCTTGGGCTTTCAGGAATCACCTTGCCTTTTTATAGAATCTGCCTTTTCCAAGGCATGTGAGACAATGCTGCACATCCCAATACTTGCAGTGCAGGGAATTGAGTCTGACATGGCACTCATCATCCACTCAATCACAAGTCAGCTACAGCTCTCAATATTGGAAGGGAAGAAAAGAAAACCCTATGGTAACTGTGGTAACAAAATTCCCTTTAGGAGGAACAAGCCTTTCAATCCTTACTCAGTTCAGTGCTGGAAATCAAAATACACTTTTTATCTGAGTAACACAAAATTTATCTTTTAACAGGAGTGGAAGAATTTCCGAAAAATATTAAGTGTGCCTTCTCAGTTGAAATAAACATTTGCTTTAGTCTTACTAATGCATAATGTCTGCCTCCGGTCATCCAGAGGACAGTATCTCAGCAGGCTTACTCTGAAAGAAGGGGGGAAGCCTGAGGGCTTAGACATGTGCCTTACATCTCAGAAACCTGAGCTGGATGTACCCATGTTAACTTTGGGGCCAGAAGTACCACCAGTCTTTGCCAATCCAAGTCCAGAAAGCCTGGATCATCCATTGCTGTGCATAAACTGCAAACAAACAAACAAATAAATAAAATCGCTCATTTTAAATATTTTCATGGATGAAGAGACAGGAGAACCATGGTAGTACAACTTAGGACCCCCATTCAGGTTGACGCCAGATCAGGGCTTTCAGTCTCAGCTCCACTGTGGGTTGCAGCCTTACTGCAGTTCCCATCAGTCATTGAAATGCCTTCCTAAGCCTGTTAAAATGTTAATTAAAATTAAAGTCTGGTATTTCTCACATACACAACCACACAGTAATAATGCTGATGATCATATTTTCAGGGAAAAATATGTCCAGTAGCCACTTCCACACGCAGAACTGATACAAGGAGAGAATCATTTACAGTTTTCCTGACTTCTGTTTGCTTACTGTACTTTGGGCTGACACTGGTGAGCAGTCCTGCTCTGCTGATGAAGCATGCCATTCCTCAGCCCTGTAAACTACTATAGAAAGAGAGTGGGCACGCAAAGAGGAGACAGAAAACTGTAGGACATGGTGGGCCCGAAAAGTTCACCAGAGCTGTGTTCAAGAAGGAATAAGGAGCAGGAAAAGCCCTCCAATTAATATGAAATATATATTTACATATTTTAATATTTTAAGGTATAATATTTCAACTTTCTGTGAGAAAAATCTGACTGTTTTTAAAAAGAATGCATCTTTAAATGGCTAAAAAAAGGCATTTTGAAATGACTTTAACAAATTTAGGTTATTAATAGAACCAGAATGAGACATCCACTATCTTCAGCTATGTTTCCTTCCAATTGCACATTCTGATAATTTTTCCATCCATTAATCCTCCACTCCCTCAGATAATCAGGGATACCATAACACAATCTCCAAAGGTTTTTGCTTAAGTAGAGCTGTATGGCACTGGGGTTACAGTGTGAGTGCCCTATCTAAACCAGCCACTCTGAAGTTATAACTACAGACATAACCTCACCATTGCAAGCTGGTTTGCCAGCTTACAGTAAAGCAGAAAACATGCACAGCTGTCCTTCCCAGTTCTGCTTAGAGGAGCTTTGATCCAAAGCAATGTATCACAGGTGCCACTACACAGCCGACAGGGCCATCTAGTGTCTAGCTCTCACACCGTGATAGCACTGCTCAGACAGCTAATTGAGATATCCCAACAAGCTTCCACAGATGAAAGAGCAGGGGAAACACGACACCAAATCAGCCAGCTGGTGCCATTTGGAGGCAGCTGATATACCACAGCGTTCAGTGTTAGTGCTGCCCACATTAGTGAGACTCTGACCAAGAGGCAAGACAGGATGAGAAGATATTTTGAGGTTCACTGGCAATAATTACTTTAATATTTTTCCATTTGCCATTTTCAGAAGATGATCTTGCTCTCTTTTCCTGGATGCTTAGAGCAAAGTGCTCTGCAGATGCTGCAGCAAGTACTAGAAGCAGACATAGCTTTTGTTGGATGTTAGGTTTCAATAAATCTGTGTCTTAACTAAAAGACCTAGTGAGACTGCATCTGGAATACTCTATCCAGTTCTGGGCCCCTCAGTTCAAGAAGGATAAGGAATTGCTTCAGAGAGTCCAGTGTAGAGCCACAAAGATGATGGAGTGGAGCACCTCCCTTATGAGAAAAGGCTGAGGGAGCTGGGTCCCTAGCTTGGAGGAGACTGAGGGTTGACCTCATTAATATTTATGAATATGTAAAGAGTGAGTGCCAGGAGGATGGAGCCAGGCTATTCTCAGTGACATCCAATGATAGGACAAGGGGCTACAGGTGCAAGCTGGAACATAGCAGGTTGCACATAAACATGAGAAAAACCTTCTTCATGGTGAGGGGAACAGGACACTGGAGCAGGCTGCCCAGAGAGGTTGCGGGGTCTCCTTCTCTGGAGACATTCAGAACCCACCTGGATGCATTCCTGTGTGACCTGATCCAGGTGCTCCTGCTCCAGCAGGGGGATTGGACTGGATGATCTTTCCAGGTCCCCTCCAACCCCTGACATTCTGTGATTCTGTTAAATTTATCATTTTGAAAATGTCAAAGTGAAACTGTCTCAGCAATTTAAGACTTACTACTTACATCTTTAATGTAGGAAAATCATCACATCAGTCAAATTTCAGTGCTGATTTCGGTCAAACAGCACCTTCTGATATTGATGATTAG